CCAATAAAATGTAGTTATTTCGTACAAAACGTCCAATTATGAGTTTATTTTACAAATATATTTAATAGTGAACAGTAGGTATCGGTTACATGATCAGATTACAAACTTGTAGGTGCTTCCTAATGCCACTCTTTGTAATAGAACACACTTAGTCCGATTTACATATAATCAGTTGTTCAAATTAAGTTTTACGTATTATTACGATGCAATGAACCTGGTTTGTAAAGACACGAAAGAATAGAGATATAAAAGATGTATTCATTTTTGTAAAGTATAAAATCTAACAGAAACTTAATAAAAAAAGTTTTAATTTAACAAATCTCAGTAACTGTGCCATCCCTACTTGGATACCTACTATAAAATCACAGTTGTGCTTATGAATGGAAGAATAGAAAATTGTAAGTTTATCTAAAATATAATGAAACTTTTGGATAAAAACGGAGAACGTTAACCACACAGTGTTATATAATTTGTAAAGGTGTATTTTTGCGAAATAAGTTTTGTTGTGAAGATTAAATGATAGATTTTATTATTACGCCTTATATTTTTGTACATGTGTATATACATTTAGAACAGAAACATGTTTTATATAACATGTTTAAAGATCGTCGGATTATTTAAAAACAGAAAGTGTGTGTAAAATATTTTTGGGCTATCATATCACAAGAAAAGTGATGAGGCTAAGGAAGTCAATTAATTTTGAATAAAACATCATTACAAGACCTAATGATATAAACGCTCTTTGTATATAATGTATTTAAGAGTTGTCAACAATATGCAAAAAGTAAAATAAACAATGTAAACATAAATGGAAATTCGTAACCTTTCTATTTTTAAACTGTCGAAAAAATCTGAAATAGAAATATTCGTTCAATTTTTTCATGGTCGTAGTTACTTTGTTGCACAGTAGAAATATGTTTTAAAATAAAATACAGTTTGTATAGTTTTAAAGAGATATATTCAAAGTCTATTTGAACTTTTAAACGATAAACCTTCTTTATAATGCTTTGCTGCAAATATCCTGTTACCAGATGAAGCCTGGCTTGTAATTAAATTAAAAGAAGGTTTTTTTTAGGATGAATGAAAAGACATTCAGAAAAAACTGTCATTTGGATTATAAGTGATACTTTTTTTTAATGCACATCAGTGATCTTAAATTAGACTGACCAATATTTCATTTAGGATACTTAAAACAACAATACGTACATATGTATGTTAGGAATATTATATTATACTATCGTTTTGAAATCTTAAATATTTTTAGGTTATATTTTAAACTTAAATGTCCGATGTAGTCTTCGTTGGCCTTTATTAAAATATACAGATGTTTAAAGAAACAAAATAAATTGAATTCAGAATTTCTAATTACTACACAAAATCCAATATTATTTTAGAGAATAATTTGATTAAACATTTGAATACTTCAGTACACTTGTTACCGCTGGAGGGCAGCGGATATGTCACTGACCGAACTCTGTTTCGATTAACTTGCTTGGGTATCATAGTAGGGGAAAATTAAATTCTTACCAGAAGATTATACTTTACCAAAATTCTCTCGGTTATGTATCACGCTTAATAATGCCTACAATTCATGGGATTGCTATATGAAATTCGGAAGAAACATAGAACAACACTTATACGAGGGGAGGTCAAAAAGTTCGCGGAATGGAGGGGTTGGAGGGGGTTGATTTACTCGTCCAGGTAGTAACTTGTTCAACACCTCATTAATAGTATATATACCAAGTTTGAACCAAATCGGGTCATTAACTTTTGAGTTATTGACCTGCAAACAAGTGAATCGGGAAGAAGTCAGTGAGTATGGAGAAAATTGAACACCGCGCCGTTATTAAGTTCCTCACCAAGCAAGGAAAATCCGCTCAGACGATTTTTGAAGAGCTGTTATCAGTTTACGCGGACTCTGCCCCTGGTAAAACCATGGTTTACAAGTGGCATGGACTTTTTAAACAAGGGAGAGAGTCCATTGAAGATGACCCCCGCTCCGGACGACCGATTGAGGCCACCACACCGGAAATCGTCGCAAAAGTAGAAAAACTTATATTGGAAGATGCCCGGTTGAAGAAGAAACAACTTGCAGCAATGGTTGGAGTATCCGAAACCAGCATTTTAAATATCCTACATCATTATCTTGGGATGACTAAGGTCAGTGCAAGATGGGTTCCGAGAATGCTCACGCCACTTCAAAAGAGCGAGCGTGTCGAGTGTTCTCGCCAGTTTTTAAAGCTCTGTGGGGAGAATAAGGATGAAGTTATGGACCGGATTGTTACTGGTGATGAAACCTGGGTTCACCACTATGAACCTGAATCGAAGCAAGAATCGATACAGTGGCATAAAAAAGGTACAGCTCCTCCAAAGAAGTTTAAAGTGTCACAATCGGCCGGAAAGATCATGGCTACTGTCTTTTGGGATACAGAAGGTATTTTGCTGATCGATTATAAAGATCGTGGTGTGACTATAACGGGACAGTACTACGCTTCTTTATTAGATAGATTGAAAGAAGCTATCAAGGAAAAAAGAAGAGGAAAGCTGTCAAAAGGTGTGCTCCTTTTGCACGACAACGCAACAGTCCACACGTGCCATGTTGCGACGGCTGCCATTCACCGATGCGGATTCGAAAAATTAAACCACCCACCTTACAGTCCAGACTTAGCCCCTAGCGACTATTATTTGTTTCCAAAAATGAAAAAAGAGCTGCGTGGAAAAAAATTTGGCGACGATGACGAAGTCAAGTCCGCAATTTCGGCCTATTTTGATAGCCAAGACAAATCATTTTTTTTCGATGGTATAAACAAATTATTTGAGAGATCTGAAAAATGTATTAAGGTTAAGGGAGAATATATTGAAAAGGAAAAATAGTTTCGTGTTAAATTTCAACCCCCTTCCCGCTCATTCCGCGAACTTTTTGACCTCCCCTCGTATCTATCAATATTTTTATGAAGTCGATCTTTAGTTTTCCATATTAAGTTTTGGTCACAATATAAAAGACTTGACTGACTGATAATAAAAACGTTTAGAATCATTGATTTTGAAATATCGTAAAGTAATAACAAAGATTTTATAAGTATTTTCATAAATAAATATCATAAAAATATTAACATCTTGAACTTCTACTAAAGTTTCTAATAATACTTAGTAGAACAATAAGCTAACACGATTATACAACACCAGAGTACCGAAACTAAAACGGCGAAAGTAATTTATAAATTAAGACATCGTACAAAATATAATTATATATAATATGTATAAAATTTGGTTAAATCCTTTAATTAATTATGTAATAATTTTGTATAATTTATTAGTGGAAACTATTTCAACCTCTTTTGTATTCCAAGAATAACATATATGCAGTTTTTGATAAAATAACGTACTATAGGGAAGATATGTTATGAAACAAAAGCTATGAAATTTCAGAGTTAAATGAAATGAAACGTTTTCCTTTGAAAAAGACATCAAGCGTAAATTCGCTCTTCGAAACAGATTTAAATCTATTTTGAAATGCATCGAGACAGATTTTTCCATAAAATATCAAAGTAGTTTTATTTATAAATTATCTTATGTTCTTTTGATATCAACTTGATTTGAAACTTTAATATTTGAAAATCTAAAATTGTGACATCGAAAATCATATACAATATTGTCAGTTGTACTACAATTTGTGTGCAAAAATCTATTTAATTTGACTCAATAATTCTTGTTTTAACGTATGTATAATTCATCGACGAAGGGAAATGGTTATAAAATATTTGCCAAGCTAGTACATTCTATTTATTTTGTTTCTATCGTATATGACTATACTCCACACATTCTCACTCAATTCCACACATTAAAAAAATAGAACGTGTCTCCTGTGATTTCATATGATAGGTTTATTTTTTCAAGTTCGTTACTTTTACGGCGCTGGACAGCAACGTATTTATACAGATATGTTTTATACGATTTTGTGTGAAATTTAAAGAGAAAGCAAACATTGGATTTATTTTGAATAAGTGTTATATACATATATTGAAACATAACACAGTAATCAAAATTATTTTAATTTTATAAATTATATTCATACATTTCATTGTTTGTATTACATTGTTTAGAACATTTTGATTTTCTAGTGTCGATAACTTCTTTCGTTTCTTTAATTTAGAATAAAGTTGAACACTTAATGTCCAGCTTAATGCTCACATTTTTCTCTTTTGCTTAATTCTGAAATTTAATACAACATAATGTATTTAATCCTCAGTAGTTGAAAACTTAGACTTTTATTAATTTGAATAAGCTTCAAAAGAATTATTGAACTAAATTCTCCAGGTTATACTATTATTAATTTGCCTTAAGAGTTTCCTTTAAAACTTAAATAGTAATCTTACATTTGAAGAATTACTTGAAGGATTGTATTAAGCAAGTTTAAAGAAAAACTGTTCGGAACAGCTTATCCTACGACCACTATTATAATTATAAAAAAACATTACAAAGAGATGAGACTTTTATACTATAAATTTATATTACATTCTTCTAACATTGTATTTTAAATATGTGACTTTCAAATATTTTCCAACAATACTTGAAAATACATTTCTATGTACAGTCACTCCAATTCAAGTTTACAACGTCATCCTGAACACTGATTCTGTAAATTTGAATACAGCAATGTTTGTAGTCTTTAAGCAGTTTCTTTTAGATAGTTAAAGAAACTTATAATAAGGGTACAAACTAAAATAATAAAGACTAATATACGTTTAAATGAAACTAATATTTTCCGGATTTATACGAGTATTTAAGTATTTTAAAAACTACATACTCTCGACGTTTTGGTTACTTTTCAGCAACCGAGATCACTGACGGACGGATGTGATAATACGCGTCGTAATTCGAAAAGTATTAGTTTCATTTAATTGAATTCTCGCGAAAGTCTTACATTTCATTATGACTGACTAATACATGTACTTTTCTTTTCAACAGAGGCATGGCATGAGCGGTCGCGTGGGCGCGACATGCGGCGAGCGCCGCTCGCGCAGCCCGCCGCCGTCACCATTGCAATATCCTTGCTATTACGCTTTGTTGACGCAGGTTTGTATCAAACCTTATGAAAGGATCAAAGCCAAAAATAATATTCATGCTTTAAACCTTCACCTTAATATTGTTGAATTTTAATAAAGGGGAAAAGTATACACTTACACGATTTAACAATACTCGATCGCATCGAGTTTCGATTAGATAAGCTTTACCTGGTTTATTCAGTGAACGCTTAATATGTGCATAACTGAAGCTAAACATTTGTATCGTTTCTATCTGTTTAGTTCGCTTTATACGCATTGGGATTTGAAATTGGTTTAAGGCTTTTCAGAATCCATAGATACCACAGTTGGATGTATATTTTGTATTAAAATAAATAAAGTAAAAGTACATATTGAAACGAAAATAATATTCATAAATATTTTATATTCAAAATTAAATGAGATGCTTCTCGGTCGGCATTGCGGCTGCCCGTACTCGTACTGGAAATTAAAATGAAATCTTCATTATTTTTTGTCTGTCTGTCTGAAAATATAACTTTTAATTAATTATCAAAAAATACATATTTAAACATGTAAAAGAGAAATGTTTCATTAAAACTTTTAATATAATTTTAATTAACGGTTTTGAAAAATAGAAAAGCCGATTGAAGCCAAACTTTTAAATAATAGCTCTTATCATATTTTTCAAAAAGCTTTATAATAATCTCTGTTAGACTAAATATGGTAAAATATATGTATAATATGAAAATTATTAATCTGATTTCATGAGAAGCTCTAGTTAGATAAAATGTTCATAGCGTTAGAAGATACATATATAGAACAAAAGACAGGCTACTTTATATATTTTTATCAACACGTTTTAAAGCACAAGATCTATCTCATCCTACACATAGAAGATTTATGTTTATATAAAATCTATGTACATTACTATTTATAAAAATCATTACAGGTTCAATGGGCCCCGGAGTACCAGAGAATATAACTGTTACCTTCCTTAATCCGACCACGGTGCGAGTATCCTGGTCCACAACAGCTGATCTAGTTGAGAAATATGATGTCACATACAAACCTTCAGATGCGAGGTAAGATGATTTCGCTATTATCTATTAACTTAAACTATAATATCTATTCTATTAACTATAATCTGTGTTTCAATTCTTATATAACAATAAATCCGAATTTATGCGCAACGATTTTATCTCTTAAAACATACATATATATCTATATATATAAAAATCAATGCCACTTTTCGTTGTAATTCCATAACTCAAGAACGGGCTCACCTATCCAAACCAAATGCTTAGGATTTGGTCGGCATATTTAGTAGATGGTTTATGTGAAGTTTGCACAAAATCGGTCGAGCGGTTCCTCATTTGTCACATTTTTTGTAATAAATGAATTCAATAGAAACTTTTTTCACAGAAACTTTTTTTAAGTTTTGTTGACAGGACAAGCACGTTGTTATGTCATTCATGCCGTCAATTCATTTTGGACGTGGTTTGATTAAATCATATTATCAGCGATAAATTTCTTTTCACATAATTGCATTTGCAGTGCATTCATACAAACGGTGAGTCCTGAATTTATGTATACTTTTCTAAGTTGCCGTATATGATTTCACATGGCATCATATGCGACAGCTTCTTGGGAATTTGTTTTTTTTTTGTTCTAATTTTTTTTTTCGATTTTTAAGCGAAAACATATGTGCATACGGGAAAAATACCACCAGCCAGACGAGCAAATATAGGTAGGCGAACGCGTAATGCAAATGATGTGGCATTACTAAGACGATCACAGAATGCAGATGAACGCGCACAAGCTAATGCATCGCAGCGTGAACGTAATGCACGCAATAGATTTGTTAACCCAGTACCTGTACTGAATCTTGCACGGCCATCACGAATACGTGGTGCTGTTTTGGCTGAAATGATGCGTGCTGCTTTTAATTACAACAGTCAGATTGATTATAGTATGTATGGATACATTGGAATGATGGACGCAATATGTCCACATTGTGATGCGGCTAACTTTCGAGGTGAAACACCCGGCATGTGTTGTGCTAATGGCAAAGTGAGATTGCCAGCATTAGAAACTCCACCCGAACCATTGTATTCATTTATTTTTGGGACATCGCAAGCGTCGAAGCACTTTCTGAGTCATATTCAACAATACAATTCGGCATTTCAAATGACTTCTTTTGGTGCAACTAAAATTATTAGAGATAATTTTATGCCGACGTTTAAGGTAAATACTTCAACAGGATTATTCCATGTTTGTATCAATCTGAAGCATAAAGTATATTTAAAAAAAAACTGATATAAGATTTACCTAAAATTGTATACATGTTACAGATTCAGGGCCAGATTTATCATCAAGCTGGTTCGTTATTGCCATACCCCGACGCTGATCATCAATTTTTGCAAATTTATTTTATTGGTGATGAAAATCGTGAATTAGATCAACGTTGTGCAATTGTTTCGAATACAAGACGAGAAATTATTCGTGAGCTACAAAGGTTTTTCCATCAGCATAACGCATTAGTTCAATTGTTTAAAATTGCTCTCGATCGTATGCCAACTGATAATCACAAAATCGTAATAAGAGCTGATAGAACACCTTTTAGAGAGCATGCAAGGCGATTTAATGCACCAACAATTGATGAGGTTGCAATTGTAATTCTTGGTGATCAGTTTCAATCCCGTGATATTGTACTTCATCGTAGAAATGAGCAATTGCAACGTGTTTCGGAACTTCATCGTAGTTACGATGCATTACAGTACCCAATATTGCATTGGAAAGGTGACGATGGTTACCATATCAATATACCAATGATTGATCCACGAACAGGTAAATAATTGACCTATTTTTAGTGTGTTGACATTTCATTTCTACAACTTTCTAAAGTCACATTTTGTAATTATTATCAGGTCTACATATACAGAAAAAAGTTAGTGCCATGAATTTTTATTCGTATCGATTGATGATTCGTCCACAAGAACAAAATTATATCTTAAAATGTGGTAAACTATATCATCAGTACATCGTTGATATGTATGCCAAAATAGAGACTGAACGTCTTAATTTTATTCGTTTCAACCAAGCAAAATTAAGATCCGAAGAATATATTCATTTGCAAGATGCGATAGCGAATGATGCTAATGTTAATGACATCGGACGTTTAACTATATTGCCATCTTCGTATATTGGTAGCCCACGGCATATGAACGAATATGCACAAGACGCAATGTCTTATGTACGAAAATACGGTCGACCGGATCTGTTCATTACATTTACATGTAATCCGCAGTGGGATGACATCAAGAACAATTTATTTGAAGGCCAGTCGACAACTGATCGTCATGACATTACAGCACGTGTTTTTCGGCGAAAATTGACAGCACTTATGGATTTAATTGTGAAATTAAGTGTATTTGGAGAGGTGCGTTGCCATATGTACTCAATCGAATGGCAAAAAAGGGGATTGCCGCACGCACATATATTAATTTGGCTGGTAAATAAAATAACTCCGGATCAAATCGATAACGTTATATCAGGTGAAATTCCTGATCAAACTGTTGATCCTGAGTTATTTGATGTTGTCGTTAAAAACATGATACATGGTCCGTGCGGTGAACTAAATATGAATTCGCCATGTATGATTGATGGAAAGTGTTCGAAACGATACCCAAGACAATTGACTTCAGACACAATAACGGGCAATGACGGATATCCGTTGTATAGACGTAGATCACCTAATGATAATGGCAAAACGGCAAACATTAGAATGCGTAACCAGGACGTTGAAGTTGATAATCGTTGGGTGGTTCCGTATTGTCCATTATTATCGAAAATATTCAAGGCTCATATAAATGTGGAGTATTGTAATTCAGTCAAATCCATTAAATATATTTGCAAGTATGTAAATAAAGGGAGCGATATGGCTGTTTTCGGTGTAGCTGGTGATAATAGAAATGATGAAATTACTCAGTATCAACTGGGGCGCTATATTAGTAGTAATGAAGCTGTCTGGAGGATTCTGTCGTTTCCAATGCACGAAAGACATCCTGTGGTTGTTCACTTAGCTGTGCATCTTGAGAATGGCCAACGTATTTATTTTAATGAAGCAAATGCATTGGAAAGAGCAGCACACCCACCAGCGACTACGTTGACAGCTTTTTTCAAATTATGCGAAACTGATACATTTGCTAGAAATTTGTTATATTCCGAAGTGCCTCAGTACTATACATGGAATGTGTCTTCAAAAAAATTTCAAAGACGTAAACAAGGAACAGCAGTCGATGGGCATTCAGGCATTTTCAAAACAGATGCAATTGGGAGAATGTATACAGTACATCCAAACAATGCTGAGTGTTTTTATTTACGATTGCTATTAGTTAACGTCAATGGCCCAAAATCATTTCAAGAATTAAGAACAGTCGACGGTCATTTGTGTCAAACATATCGTGAAGCATGTCAACTCTTGCATTTGTTGGAGGATGATGCACATTGGGATTCAACACTTAATGATGCATCTACGTCAGCTCATCCACAACAAATACGAATGCTATTTGCCATTATATTATCGACATGTATGCCATCAAATCCACTTGAATTATGGAACAAATATAAAAATTATATGGCAGAAGATATTTTAATTCGTATGCGTCATCATGCAAGAAATCCTGATTTGTTGATTACCTTGGAAATGTGCAACGAAGCTTTGATAATAATTGAAGATATATGTCTAACGATTGCAAATAAAGCATTAGTACAATTGGGTATGACCGCACCAAATCGTCCCATGCATGATTTGTTTGATCGTGAATTGCAACGTGAGCAGGAATTCAACTGTAATGATTTGCGTTTATTTGTACAATCGAATATAACCAAATTAAATATTCAGCAAAAACATGTATATGATACAATCATGCAAGCCGTTTCCAATAATGCAGGTGGATTATATTTTTTGGATGCACCTGGTGGCACAGGTAAAACGTTCGTTATATCATTGATTTTAGCGACTATTCGATCAGATCAGAAAATTGCACTAGCACTTGCATCTTCGGGAATTGCTGCTACATTATTAGAAGGTGGTCGGACCGCACACTCTGCATTAAAATTGCCATTGAATGTACAGGTGATTGAAACTCCAACTTGCAATATATCGAGAAATTCTGCTATGGCAAAAGTTCTGCGATTAACGTCAATTATTTTATGGGATGAGTGTACAATGGCGAATAAAAAATCACTAGAAGCATTCAATCGAACAATGCAAGATTTACGTGGTAATCAACAGCTTTTTGGTGGTGCTTTGATATTACTTTCAGGGGATTTTCGTCAAACATTGCCTGTCATTCCTCGATCAACTCCTGCTGATGAAATAAATGCCTGCTTGAAGTCATCAGTTCTTTGGAGATATCTACAAAAATTGACACTAAACATTAATATGCGTGTTCACCTACAAAATGATCCAGCTGCCCATGAGTTCTCAAAACAATTGTTAGAAATTGGTGACGGCAAAATACAAATCGACAGAACCAACGGATTGATCGCTGTACCGAACAATTTTTGTACAATTGCGCAATCGATAGATGAATTGATTGAATGTGTTTTTCCGAATATTGTTCAGAATTACAGAAATCATGATTGGTTGACAGAACGCGCCATTTTAGCACCGAAAAACATTCATGTCAATGCAATTAATTTTCAAATTCAAGTGAAACTGCCAGGCGTAGTCACGAAATATAAATCAATTGACAGTGTTATGAATCAAGATGAGGCAATGAATTATCCAATTGAATTTTTAAATTCATTGGAGCCGGCTGGTATGCCACCGCATTGCTTGAATCTGAAAGTTGGTTCTTCGATTATATTATTGCGAAATATTAATCCACCAAAACTGTGTAACGGAACCAGATTGGCAGTGAAAAAGTTATTGCCAAATTTGATTGAAGCTACGATCTTAACTGGTAAATCAAAAGGAGAAGTTGTTTTGATACCGCGTATACCTATGATTCCAACTGATATGCCTTTTGAGTTCAAACGTTTACAATATCCTGTGCGTTTATCATTTGCGATGTCC